GTCAGGTGGACTTGCCTGGACCATATATGCTTGAGCTCGGAAACTGCGTGGCTCCACGGCTCCTTGTCAAATTTGAAGCATCGAGCCTGGCCTTACTCCTGCCAGGATCACTTCCTCCGGCCACTGCTGGGCGGGATTACTTGGCTTGCTTGCCCAGCACATGACCGTTTAGACGGAAGAGCAGCTAGGTTGGCCCAGTCCAACAACCGAAAACGTGAAATTTCCCAAAGGCCTACCTGGAAAAGGCCTCAAGAATGCAAGGATGCCGCTCCCATAGAAAACAAAGACTCATGCTATGTGCCCGGCGATGCCTTTCTGGAAGGGAGGCTTCGCGAGTATCCTGACTTCCACCTCATCCCTGCAGCTTCTTTGGTGCGCAGGAACATCTCGGAAATGCTCAAAACGGAAGCCTTCGCGAACGTCCTGAGCTCCACCTCACCCTCGCAGCTTATGTACAGAAGCAGCTGGGAACAACTTATCGGACCGATTCAGGCACCTACCCAAGGAGGCCTATGAGTAAAGGACATATGCGGCTAGAGGGCAGTCACGAAGCTGGTAACAGTGTCTGTGTATGTGCACCGGATGAATCGTTCGTCTTTGGCAGTTGGCCTTTGCATGCCGAATAGTTGCCAAGACGCACTTGGAGATGCATACTGCGGTTACGTGGGAGCGAGGCCTGTCCCGGAAATCTTGAATGTGAAAGGTTTCGCGAGTATCCTGAGTTCCACCTCATCCTCGCAGCTTGATGTGCAGTAGCGGCTGGGCACAACAATCCGGACCGATTCAGGAATTTACCCATGAGGCCTATGAGTAAACGACATGATGCTGCTAGAAGGCAGTCAAGAAATTGGTGGCATTGCCTGAGTATGCGTACCGGATCAGTCGTTCGTCTTTGGCGCCTGGCATCGGCATGCTGGGTAGTTTCCAAGACGCACTTGGAGATGCATATTGCGGTCAAATTTAAATGGGAGCCAGGCTTGTCCGGGAACCCGGAAATGTTCAATGAGGAAGGTTTGGCGAGTATCCTGAGTTCCACCTCATCCTCGCAGCTTGATGTGCAGAAGCAGCTGGGAACATTTTTTGAGACCGATTCAGGCACTTACCCATGTGGCCCATGGGTAAAGGACATGATGCTGCTAGAGGGCCGTCAAGAAACTGGTAACAGCGCCTAAGTATGCGCACCGGATCAGTCGTTCGTCTTTGGAGCTTGGCATCGGCATGCTGAGTAGCTGCCAAGATGCACTTGGGCATGCATATTTCGGCAAGGTGGGAACGAGGTCTGTCCGGGAACCTGGAAATGCTCAAAATGGCAGGCTTAGCAAGTATCCTGAGTTCCACCTCATCCTCGCAGCTTGATGTGCTGAAGCACTTGGCCGCAACATATCGGACCGATACAGGCACTTACCCATGAGTAAACGGCATGATGCTGCTAGAGGACCAGTCACGGAGCTGTATTGGGCTTGCATGTTCCGGCAAAGCGGGAACGAAGCTTAACCGGGAACCTGGAAATATTGAATCTGGAAGGCTTCACGAGTATCCTGCGTTCCACCTCATCCTCGCAGCTTGAGGTGCAGAGGCAGCTGGGAACAACTTTTCGGACCGATTCAGGCACTTGCCCAAGAAGCCTATGAGTAAAGGACATGATGCTGCTAGAGGGCAGTCAAGAAACTGGTAACAGTGCCTGTACATGTGCGCCGGATCAATCGGTCGTCTTCGGCGGTTGGCCTTGCATGCCGCGTACAGTAGTTGCCAAGATGCACTTGGAGATGCATATTGCGGTTAAGTGGGAGTGAGCCTTGTCCCGGAACCTGGAAATGTTGAATGTGAAAGGTTTCGCGAGTATCCTGAGTTCCACCTCATCCTCGCAGCTTGATGTGCAGTAGCGGCTGGGCACAACAATCCGGACCGATTCAGGAATTTACCCATGAGGCCTATGAGTAAAGGACATGATGCTGCTGGAGGGCAGTCAAGAAGCTGGTGACATTGCACACCGGATCAATCGTTGGTTCATGGCGTTTGGCATCGAATGCCGAGTAGGCAAATGCCCAGTATTTGCCAAGACGAGCTTGGGGATGCATTTCCGGGCTCAGTCACCTAGTCTGAAAGGTGTCCTTGCCAGCGTTCTCGCCGGTTCACTCAGGCGGAATCGGAAACCGAATGCGAGGATGCTGAATCCAATGTGCTTCTCGCCCAGCAGAAGCAGACGATGAAGCAAATTGAACCCAGGCACAGTCGGTCAGGTGGACTTGCCTGGACCATATGCTTGAGCTCGGAAACTGCGTGGCTCCACTGCTCCTTGTCAAACTTGAAGCATCGAGCCTGGCCTCTCGCGGAGCAGGTTGCACTTGTGGAGCCCCTGAAAGCATTATGACGATCTCCTGACGGTAGCATGCCGATGTTTTAGGGCAAGGGTGCAGCAGCGGCTACTGCCAGCGCCGTGCGGATGTGGCAAATGACCCAAACTCACTCTGCCTACGTATTCGGCCATTCCAGATATCTCATCGAAGGCTTCGAAAGCAGATAGGCCAAGCACCCCGCCTATAGCATAGGAAACTTGCATCAAGTTTTGTTCAATCTGCGATCGTAGGCAGCGCCACCCGATCTGACAAATACATCGGACACATCAAGAAGCATCCCTCTGAAACACCGAAACATCCTAAAGGCTTTAGGCCCCCACCGGCTCGACGATGGCTTACAGTCCAACCTGCATGCTCAAGACTTCGAAAGGATGTCCTGAACCATCTGCACCTGGTACGGCCCTAAGTAGCACATCTCACGGCGTTCTGCTCATCCTGGCTTTCCCGTCATCGCCCATGCGGAGGGAGCCGACCCATCAGTCACCTCGCAATGCTCAACTTCTTGCTGTGAGGGTGCCGATTCTGTTTTGCCCGAAGCAATTTGGATTTTCCAGCCGACTGAAACTCAACAACAGGAGCCTGAGCAGCAGGCTGTCGTGCCCGGCGAGTTCATCGTCTGCGATGGGCCCGGCATGCCAATGTGAGACGGTTTGGGCCAAAAGCTACTCACCAGGCGCCGAGATGTTGAAAGTTCAAAACGACGACCCAGCTGTCTGGATCGTGAAAAACGACAATTGCTCCGAAAGAATGTCGCTTGCGACAGAGTCAGCGGTGGTAAGCACATGCTTTTTCAGGTCAGGCAAGCCCTCAGCTCATGGATTCGCGATACGTGACGGGCTTCCGGGTGCGGAAAGCAAGCTCAGGGTCCAAAGCTCGCAGAGTGCATACCTCTGGACTTGGGGCTCGGGATTTTTCTCAGGCAAAAAGCACATGGAAATCATTTTCGCCGAATATGCAGGAATCTGATGGTGGCTGACGTTCCATGCTAGACTGTCTGCCCTCTGATGTAGGAACAGCTCAGAGCTTGCTTGAGCAAGTCTCTCGAAAGAGATCGCAGTTTGGAGAGCAACTCCTACGCGTCCACACAGGCAAAACATAGTCCTGTCTCAGCAGATCAGCAAGGCCCCATCTCGGAGGAGTACCTCAGCGATGAGGTCTTCAAACACCGTGCACTGTGCAAGATGACTGAGGCAAGTTGTGATGAGTTGGGAACTTGCATGCTGCACAAGAGAATGCAAGCAGCTCAGGCAGAAGCCAAGGGTTTCTCTCGTCATGTGCACGAATTCGGATGCAGTCGACCTTTCTCTACTGCGCAGGCCTGTTAGAACCTAAGCCTCAAATTTGGTGCAGAATGGTCTGGCTCTGAGCTGTTGCCACTTTGGGATCAGACTTTCTCCGCTCGTCCACTCAACTCTTATTATGGTTGAATGTGGAGTGACGCTTGGTTGGCAACTTTTGGCCAGAAAACCAGGGTGCACTCAAATGGGCCGCGGATAGTGCTTTATTCGGAGCCAGACATACTGCGGGCTGTGGGCGCTGCAAGTCCTAGCCAAAATTTCGAACATCTGGCCCGGGAACAAGATGACACGGAAGATCATTGGATGTGCCATCTGTGCGCACTTTGCCGTTCTGTCTCTTCTGGTAAGATAACCCGACATGCACATGCTCGAGTTTTACATCTCGGCCCCTTTGGATTTGTTTAGGGCCCAGGGAGATGTTTGGATACTTCATGGATATGAGGCTTCAGAAACGGGCACTTCAATGTGCTAAGTTGATCCGCAGACAGGGTCTGCTTGATGAACGGTGGCGCATGACGGAAACAGAAAAGCCAGCAGGATCGTTCGACTGAAATGATGCAGCCGTTTTGGCGACAACCAAGAGCTGAATTTTCGGAACCTCCCCTCAAGGGGCATGGCTTGGAATCACAAGTTGATCAGATGCTAGGACCCCATCCCTCCGTGATACATGTCTCCCCATTGCCCCGAAGCCTTGAGGGTTCATAGCCTCCTTGGAAGGTATTAGCGGGTCAGACTCAGTCCTGGTAGGCCGTCTCCATGTCGGGGATGCTGGAATCCTCCTGGGAACGGCGCCCCAAGCTGCGCCGGAGCGCCTTCCAGGGGGCTCTCTTCTTCTTCACGGTATAGCTGCAGAAAAACCCATGGCACGAAGTCCAAAACCCATATAATCCCCGAGATGCTTTAACCTGAACTGCCAGGCTGGTGCTTCAAACCTTTTCTTTTGTGTTGGAATGTTGGAATTCAGACTTAGTGAAGCCCTTGCGTTGGCGTGGACTCTCACGAACAGCTTTTGAAGGGTTGGGGGAAATGGCCTTCTTCGCAAGCCCTTTTGACTTTTGACTGGATGGCGGGCAGGGGCACCAAGACCTCCACAGGCAGGTCCGGATCCTGGGCCCCGTGGCACCCTTGAGAGAACCCAAGGATTCAACAGGCACGGTATAGGGTCGTCTAGCACTCGTTCTTATTATGCTCTGTATCCCCGAATGACCAAGTCTAAACAATTCAATTTCCTCTTGCGCAAGGCTTCTTGCTATGGTCCGAAAAAAATCGCTTTCAAGCAAATAGCTTTGCATCCTCATACGAGTATTTCTCGGCTAGAACCGGTGGAGCAAAGCAACCGTGATCTCTGCCCTGTCATGGTTGAGCAAAAACCAAGGTGGGAATGCTGGACACACTACGGAGCCTGCCTGGATCCCGCTTAAGGTTTAGCCACCTGCTGTAGATTAAGAAAAATTATGCCATAATTATGTATGACGACACCTCAACGGTGCTTTTAAATAGACGGCCCTCACCAGGATCAGAATGGTCGAGGTTCGAAGGCCAGCTTCAAGACGTTGACCGGCACGGAACTGAGCTCCACGCTGGTCAGTTGGGTTGGAGTGTTTTGCACCATCACTTCCTGACCGATGCGAAGCATGTCAGCTGGCACCTGAGTGCGGCATCAAACTTCCACGAAGCTAACGACCTTACCACCCCTCTAAGCATTGCAGGGACGTAGTTACTGGAAAAGTCTTGCAACTCTCTGCAAACCCGCGCAGACCTGAAGCATGAGCCGAGTTGCCGTATCACCCGTAGGCAATGGAATGCGATGATCCGGGGTTACCTGCAGGACGGCGCTGCCAGCACGCAAAATCAACGTCTTCTCCGCGCGGTGGAGTTCTGGAACCTTTCTCAGCTTGTCAAACACTCTGCGCCGCAATAGAAAGATGTGCACATGGGCATACAACTGGACTGATGGAGTTATAGGCCTTGTGGGCAAGACTAACAGTTGGCACCGTGAACAGAACATGCAACAAAAGAGTGCGACTCTACCAAGTGACACGGATCACGGTGCCATCGGCCGCCGAGATCTTGCATCCCTCATAGAGGGCAAAGCCGGGGATGTACTTGCCCTTGTCCTCTGCCAGGAATAGGGACTCTTGGAGATAACAGCACGGTTCAGGGCTATCAGTGCCGCCTGCCGAGATCTTGGACAAGGAGTTGGTCTCGAACTCTTCGCGTTCGCTTATTTCCAGCCAAGATGTGTGGCTCCAGACTTCGCTGCAAGTTTCAGACTGCTGCATCGCGATCGGCTCGCTCGATTGTCGTACACCCTGATCACTATCAACTGCAGCCATCAACTGCTGCCTCATACCCGAAATCGGTATTTGCTGCTTGCTTCGGCACAGTTGATCCTTGATGGCATCCACGTCTTCCTTCAGTTGCTTTACAGCCTTGTCCTGTGCGTCCATTCGCCGCTTTAAGCTGGCCTCCGTACCGAAGGCGTAGTTTCTTGCAGGGCACAAGAAGCTCGCCAACGACCTTCCGAAGCAGCGCGGGGCGAACTCCCAGAAGCAGAGCAGCAAAAACGGGACAGCCACGAAGTATCGCCACGATCCCCAAGTTGCAGTCTCGCTGTGCAGGGACGCTTCTGTCTCTTTGGCCTCGGCCTTCTTCACTTTTGCCTGCGTCTCCACGAAAAGCTGCTCTGTTTTTTTCGCAGATGCATCGGGCCTTAAAGCTTCCTCCGCCGCCTGAGCTCTTGCTTGGCACTCCTCGTGATCCTTGTGCATGCGTGTGACCTCGGCCTGGCTCTCCTGGAGAAGCTGCTCCACTCTCTTCCCAGATGCCTCGGCCCTGCTCAAAGCTTCCTCTCCGGCCTTAGCTCGTGCCTGGCACTCCTCGAGATGCCTCTGCGCATCGGCCTCGGCTTTCTTCGCTTCCTCTTTGGCCTGGTCTGCAAATCGCGCCTCGAAGTGCTGTGTGTTCAACTTCTCCGCGGAGAAGGGCCGCTCTGCACAAACCCTCCTTTGCAGCTCCATTTCGTTCTTGACAGCCCAGGCCAAGCGGTCTGACATAAAAAAAGACATGTATTGGGTGTATTGGGCATCGACCTCTTTAGATCTTTATCGAAGTGACTCATCGGAATTCTCCCCAGACTTCTCCTTGTCAAGCTCTTTAAGCCGACGGTATGTTGCATCTGCAGCTTGCAACCAGCAGACTGCTGCCACTGCTGACTGCTCCGGCCTGCACTTCCGGTCGCTCACGCGTGCGTCCAAAGCACATCTGTAGCTCTGGATGAACTGTGTATGCGGATTATGCGGATTGTCGGCATGTTCAAACTGGTATCTGAACTGACCGATGTGCTTCATCATATCTGCCACTTTAGTTTGCCACCCGCTGTCCGCAAAGTCACACTGGCACTCCTCGGTCTCCCCGGCCACGGGCTGGGGCACCGCCACAGCCACGAAGAGCCAAAGAACTCCGATGCCTTTTCCACTGTCTCTCCGAGAGTCTCTCCTTGATTCCCCGCGAACTTCCGGTACTTCCATGGCTCTGTGCACACAGACTGGTTTACTCACTGCTGGGATGCTGCATAAGGCAAGTCGCAGACACTCGGAGTTCATGTTTTGAAAGGTTTTCTAGCATGTTGCAGAGCCTCCCAATATCTGCTATCCTTGTGCAGCAGTTTGGGTTGATTCTGCAGTTCTGTCAAACAAAGGAATGCCAAGTGCCTCAAGCAAGCAACCAACAACATGCGACAGGAGGCAATGCGATCGTGAGCGAAGACCCTGAACGATTTTCATGCCTGCCACCACTAAGGGCTACAAGACCGATTAAGGCTGCCTTCTGGCCCCCAGTGACACAATAACAGCCCCGAGCCCATGAGAGCCTAAAGCCATCAACCCTGAGACCATCGACACACCAAAGACTTAAACCTTCAGTCGCTCAAATCATCAACCCCCAAACCAGCAACCTTAAAGCACCCTGAACCCTTAAACCCTTTTTTGCAGCAGGCTTCTCTCGCCCGGCCCTTAAACCCTGAAACCTGAACCCTGAAGCCTATAAGCTCTAAATCACAAGAAACTCACAGCTCTACAAACTTCGTTCAGATCCTCTCACACCAAAGCTCACAGAAGAATCACACCTACCGCTCACACGAAACTCACAACCCCGAAATCTCTCTCAACAGACTCACACTTACCTCTCTCACTGCCTCTCTCAGCTAACTCACAGAATTAATGCATTTACCTTGTTTCAGAGGTTGCAAGACCTGCCACTCATAACCCTAAACCCTGAGCCCTAAAGCCTATTAAATCCTAAACCCTCAGGGTCTCCTGTCGAAGCTCTGGGCTCCGCTGCATCGAAACTTGAGGCTCCTGCACAACTTAGCGAGGCTTGGGTTTAGGCCTACATAGTTCGTATAGAGGGCTTTTATTTTATGGCATATCGGCATATGGATTATAGTCTAGGGTTTAGGCTTACGTAGTTCGCACAGAGAGCCTTTATGGCTCATGGCTTATAGACTCGGGTTTAGGCTTATGGCCCGTAGTGCCAGTAACTTCGTGTAGGTTTGAAGGCAGGGCTTGGGTTCCCCGATGGCGCTCATCGTTCCACACTACATCGCCGACACGCTTAGCTGCTCCTTTCAAGATACATTCTGCTACTGGAAGTTTACAACGATCCCGACAGGGATGGTAGTTTGGAGCGGCTCCCACATCTTGGCTTGTCGAATCTCACTTTGGCATGGTCCTGTCTCAGCAAGAAGCGGAAGACCTCATCTCGGAGCAGCACTACCTCAGCGATCCGGGCTTCCAACACTGCGCACTGCGGGGAGCTCCCCGAGGTCTTGGACACGACTTTTCTGGCAGGAGGGCCTTGGAAACGCCTGCCAAACGCAGCCTCTGCTCCTCCGCATGCTTGCAACCTTCATGGCCATGGATTTCTATAAGATCTTCATGGTTCACATGGTCCTCGGTGGAGAGAGGGGCTAGAGCTGCGGCGCCTTCTGCGCCGCGTCAGCGGTTCATGCTGTACAAGAGCTTGCAAGCAGCTCAGGTAGACGCCTGGCATCTAAAGCGGATAAGAGGCACAACAGCCCAGCTTGGGTCGAGCAAGGCAGAAAGGATTATTACCTACACCCGCTTCTTCGGATTCGGACCCTTGCCAGACATAAGGAGGGCGGCGTGCGCTGCATGTACTGTTCAAAACTTCGAAAGTCCTGGCCCGGCACAAGATGACACGGAAGATCATCGGATGCAATTGCTATGTGTCCTCTGTGCACACGTGGCCGTTCTCCCGCTGCTGGCTTCTTACTATTCGACGAATTGTTCTCTCGGCAATTTTTGGGATTCTCTCCGGTCATGTTCTTGTTGTTGGGTATTTAAAGATCTGAGGCTTCAGAGGTTCGCGTATGCAAGGATTAAGTAGCATAGGTCTCGCGACAAGATCTGCTGGTACATGGAAAACGGCGGAGGGAGAAAAGCCAGCAGAATCCTTCGACTGAAATGAGGCAGCCGTTCTGGCGGCAGCCAAGAGCTGAATTCTGGGGACTTCCCCCTAGAGGCATCGGTTCGGATCCGACCTCATCAAGTATTATGCCCCATGTCCTTCCCTGGTGCTGAACCCTTGAAGCATATTTCGCATCATTCAGTAAATGCCGCGTCGCAGCAGCTGCAAATTCAACAGCCTCAACCCTCCGTTCTCAAAGCCATTCGACAACCACAGTGTGCTTGATACATCACGCTTGATTGTCTGCCGGATCCTTTAGATGCACCCTCGGAAGCCTTGATCCGGCTCTTAGCCTAGCTGGGCCTAGCTTTGAATTGACGGACTTTGAGGAGATATTGTTAATTACTGATTCTGATCGTTCAGACCCCCATGTTCGCCTCGTTGGGGGATCCCCTCAGTTCAAGAGACCTAGTCCTGGTATTCCGCCTCCGTGTCGGGGATGCTGGGCTCCTCCGGGCTTCCACGGCGACCCACCAGGCTGCGACGCAGGGCCTTCCAAGGCTGCTGAAACCCAAACCCTCAAAACGTGAGGTCTCATCAGCCACGACATGCTAAAAACGGAGACCTTCAGGCAAGAGCTGCATGTGCTGAATGATATTGATGCATGTACTACTGTCATGAAGAAAAAATAAGCCAGGTTGTTGCCAGTCCTAGAAACCGTGTGGACGTTGAAGGTTCGGGGTTCAACGCCTTCTTCGCAGTTCCCTTGGACTGGATGGCCGGCGGGGGCACCAAGACCTCCACGGGCAAGTCCGGATCCTGTGCGCATGGGAGAGATCCCGATCGCGAGTGGTTCTAAAAAACATCACTGTGGCTGTGTAGGGCTCTGTAGGAGTCTGTAGGAGTATGAGTTTTCGACACGCACACTCACAACGGCAGGCACGGATTCATGAGGAATGGTCACAGCGGGCTCCTTGGCCTAGCGTCGGCGTTTTGGTTAAGAATTCAAGGGGGTAAGTGGGGCTGTACGCACGCAAAATATTGTTGGAAGAGATCCCGGCGCTGTCATGCTTGAGCAAACCAAGCACAAGACTGAAAATGCTGAACCCACAGCGCAACCATATTACTATTAGGCTGGTTCAAAACAAAATTCGCGTCCCCTTAAAGGCGCAGGTCATCACCTCAATAAATGCTATCATTAAGTTTTACAATGATTTATCCAATTCAGTCGGCCCTGAACATGGTCAACAACTTTAGAACAGCCCTCAGGTGCACACTTACCATACCGGTCGAGGGTCGAAGGCCAGCTTCAAGACGTTGACAGGCACATAACTGAGCTCAATGCTGGTCAGTTGGGTTGGAGTGTTTTGCACCATGACCTCCTGGCCGATGCGAAGCGTGTCAGCTGGCACCTAAGCGTAGCATCAAGCTTCCACGACATTGAGCCCTTGCTAACGCTAAATTTCGCTAAATGACAAATATTGGACAGTACTTGCATACATGCAGATTCTCGGTGTGCTTGACCAATAATTACCTTGTCACTTGACCTTTGCAAAAAGCTCAAGGCCTGAAGTAAGAGGCGAGTTGCTGTGTCACCTGTCGGCAATGTAATGCGATGATCCGGCGTGCACGGCAAGACGGCGCTGCCCGCACGCAAATTCAAGGTCTTGTCCACCCGGTGGAGTTCTGGGACCTTTCGCACCTTTGTCAGCCGATCTGCAATCTACCTTGACATGAAAGAAGATGTCGACTCGCGACGGAGCAATATCCGTGACCCGTGGATCTGCAGTCTATTCAGCCCATCCGCTGCAAAGAAACCGGCATGGGGAACATGCAACCGCAATGCAACACTGCCAAGTGACACGGATCACGCTGCCGTCTGCCGCCGAGATCTTGCAGCCCAGATGAAGGTCGAATCCCTGTATGTACGTTCGCTTGTCCTCTGCCAAGAAAAGGGACTCTTGGAGAAAGCAGCATGGCTCCGGGCTGTCAGTGCCACCTTGGCGTGGGTTCACAGGACTTTTTGATTTAAAGCTACTAGATAAATGTTTGGAACCATTCCTTCTGTAGCAAGGTCACTATGAAAAGGGTACGGTAATCTACGCATCAAGCAATCTCACCTGCAGAGATCTTGGGCAAGGAGTTTGCCGCCAGTGCTTCGCAACTGTTAACTTCAACCCACGAGGTATGACTCCAGACCTCGCTGGCATCATCAGCTTGCGGCATCGCGATCTCCTCTGTCGGATGTGTAGTGTCCTCAACTGCACTCGGCTTTGCTTCCTGCTTCTTGCGGCGCAACTGAAACTTCATGGCATCCAGGTGTTCCTCCATGACGCCCTTCAGCTGAAGCAAAGCCTTTCCATTGTCAGCGAGCTGATCGGCCAGCTGCATCACAATCTGCTCGCCAGCCGCACTCGGAACCTTTGCTTCCTGCTGTTTTGGGCATAACTGATTCTTACTGGCATCAAACTCTTCGACCATGACTTCCCTCATCTGGCATACAGCCTTCTCGAGTTCCTCCGATGACCTCTTTAGGCCGTCACCTGTATCGACGGTGCGATCTCGTGCAGGACACAAGAAGCTCGCCAGCAGCTTTCCGAAGCGTCGAGGTACCAATGCACAGAAGCAGAGCAGCAGAAACACGGAAGCCAAGACAAAACGCCAGGATCCCGGGACAGCCGGCTGGTTGAACTCTCTCTTCCGTTTGGCCTCTGCCTCGGCCTTCTTCACTTTTGCCTGGCTCTCCCTGCAAAGCTGCTCTGCCCTCTTCAAGGCTTCCTCTGCGGCCTCAGCTCGTGCCCGCCACGGTGCCTCGTTCGCCTCGGCTTCCTTCGCTGCCTCTTTGGCCTGGGCCTCGGCTCGTCGCGCCTCGAAGCGCCGCTGGGCTTCCACCTTCCCTGCAGAGCTGCGCTGCTCTTCACAGACCTTCCTCTGCTGGTCATGCTCGGACACGACAACCTTTCGCCAGCGGAAACTCATGTACCGAAGGGCCTCACGGTAAGACATGCTGAGCTCAATTAGTGTTCGCCTCTGGCCCAGGGCTCCAGGCTCAACGAGCCGACGAGTTGTTGCGTCTACAGCCTGCAGGCCGCAGACAGCAGCCACTGCTGACTGCTCGGGCCTGCACTTCCAGTCATTCCGGTCGGTCTCGCGCAAATCCTTCGGGCATTCGTAGTTCCGGATGAACTGTGTGCTTGCCGCCCCTTCGTCCCAAAAGTCGCTGCGGCGTCCGTGCTCGTCCAGGTGCCTTATCATGTTGTCCAAGTTCTCTTCCCAGCTGCTGTTCCCAAAGTCACACTGGCACACCTCCATCTCTCCGGCCACGGGCTGTAGCAGCACTGCGGACACGAAGAGCCAAAGGAATCCCCTGCCTTTGCCACGGTCCCTCCTTGAAGCACCGCTAGCTCCCGGCACGTCCATGGCGCTGTGCACAAAGCCGGGCTCTGGTTGCAGGCTGCAGGCACGCTGCACTCTAGAGGCCAAACTTCACGGCTTAGGAGTTGTGGGGTTTTTGAAGGTTCGATATTCGCTAAACTCCTCGAAACCAGGATCGACTCCATTTCGGACCCTTGCGGATGATGTCGGCAAGGCAACGACCCTGTTCAAATGACTGCTCTCGCAGGCAGCATTGTGCTGCACTGCACATAGACCTGGTAGTTTGTTGACTGACCTGCCAGGCTACTGATTCATCGCCCTGAACTCAAATCGCACATCCTCAAACCTCGAACACCGAACGACCGCAACACGAAACGCTTACAGCCTTTATCTCAAAGTCCTAAAAGGCCTCAAGTCCCACATCCCTCAATCCATTAGACCTCCTCAAGGCCTTGAACCACAAACCCTAGCCCAAAAATCTTGAAGCCTTATTATTTCAAGCAGGCAACCCAAGGATGGCTGAGGACTCTGCAGCAGCTTCTGGCTGACCTCAGGCCGTTGGGGATCCAGCTAGGTGGGGTTTAGGTCTTAGCGGATTATCGGGTTAGTCTTTCGCGTTCAAGGAGTACGAGCTAAGGGCTTCATGCTTATGAAGGTGTTGTAGAGGGTAGCAGGCTTTCTGGTTGCTGGGACAACTAGTCACGGCATCCACGGCCACAAGCAGCCCTACGGATCTGATCACGCAGTGACAGACTTTTGCTTCAGTGGTTGGGCCTTCCCCCCCTCCCACTGTATTTGTGGCGGGCAAGCAAGCTTCGGCTTCTGCTTGGGTTGCATCCCGATCCTTGTCTTTATTTCAAGGCAGGTGAGGCATCTTCGTGCTCTGACGCAATACTCCATTTTCCGCACCGAGCTGTGTCATGAGATATGATCTCAGGCCTTGATCTAAGTGTATGGTTCGCTGCCTCGATGTGCTGTCTTGGACGTTGCTGCCGTAGTCCAAGAAACAGCTTCTCGTCTCTTACGACCGTTTACATTCCAACTCCGTAAACTCTCGAAGCAGATCCCTGGCAAAAGTATCCAGGGTCGGGTTAGCAGAGGGATATCCAAGGTGCGACGAGTTCATGCCGACTGGCCGTGTCCCGGACGCAGTCTCCAGCAATGGGAGGACAACCCCTGCGATATCCATGTGGGAAGTTCTGAAGAACATGAACTCCAGGAAAACCTGCAACATGAGAGAACCCCCCAGAGAGGAACCCGAGTCTCGACGAACGACATCCTTTCATGAACCTAGCTACGGCTCTTTCATGAGTCTGGACATGCAACGACGGGTTTGGGAAACTGGGCTTGCTGGATGCTAGACAGCACCACCCTCTAGGCTGGTTCCACGACTTAGGAAAGGACAGCCATCTCGGCGGCTCCTCACACAAAAAAAATCCGAACCCTTTCCAGCATCGCTCAAACTGAACTCTGTAAGGCCCCAGCAGGAGTAGCAGCAATTCTGCCGCAAACTAGGCAAAGGGTTTGAACATGCTGTCAGCCAGGGCGCCGAGAACAGCAATCGCCAGGCTAAGCTCGGGCTTAGGGCTTAGGGCCGGGCATTGCAGGTGGCATCAGTCTGAATACACACTCGCAAGCCTTGAAAGATGCAGGAACCTCAAGCATGCCAAGTAACGTAGGTGTACATGGGAAGACGGTCGAGGGTTTAGGGTTCTAAAGTTTCGGGGCTCAGGATTTGTTAGCTTTCTTCGCGCTTCTGCAGTATAGAGGTTCTGTATGTATTTATGGTCTTTTGAAACACCCCCCTCCCCCCCCGTTTCCAACCTTTCCTTCGCTTCCTCTGTCCCTATTTGTGCTTGTGCCCCTGCGCTTCTGCGGCCGGCCGAGGCGGAGGACAGGAAGCTTCTCCAGTGAATACGACTTGTCGAGTTTCGAATAGACTTTTCGCTTGCGAAATCTGAAGCCAGATCACACTTTCTCCTCAAAAAACGCATTGAAGGGCTGCTTCCAAATATTACGTAGTCCACGCCACGTTCCCGAGGACAGGGGGTGTCGATAGAGTAGGGGTACCTCGTCTAGGGCCAGGGCTAGCATATGGAGTCCACGGTCCGCATTGGCACCCTGACATCGGTTATGTTCAGCACATGTCGAGGAGCGGCGAAGCCAGGCCTAAGGATTCAAAGCATCGAAGTTGCATTGCATCGTTTCGCCTTAGGGTTAAGGCTCCGGCACACCTGTCATTCAACTATAGGGCTCTGAGGCTTTATAGAGCCTCTGATTCATGGCTTTCTAGTATTTCTACTGACACCATTGGATCGGGTACCTGGCACCCAGGATTTGGAAAGAGTGTGCTGTCGTGTGATGCTTTTTCTCCGCGTTGTGCCCCCAAACCGCCTGAGGGCGGCCTGCACTCGTCTAACATCCGGCGCCAACCGATCGTCTCTGTGTCCTCTGAACACCCGGGACAGGCCAACAGGGCGTTCACACGGCTGAAGGTTTGAGAAAGAGCTCCGCCAATCCGCTCACTCGCGCCGTTTCTTCTTAGCGGCCTCGCACGCATGAGCAACCCGTAGCTGAATCAGAAGCGGCTCCACAAAGGTCTTCTACGGAATTCAGCTCTCCAACATGGATTCAAACTTGTCTAATGTGAAGTGGCGTCTGGGTGGTTATAGATCCACCTCACTACTAGGGGACGCGGGACGCACTAAGCAACTCCACATTGCTGGCAGTCCGAGGAAGCTCGTATTCAGCCTCAGGACAGCCTGGAATGTACGAGTTCCAGGCCGGAGCCCCGTGTTGAATAATATCAAGCATTACATCGAAGACTCAGGCTCCAAGGGATGCATGGCCACAAATCGAGGTCCTAGACTTCTAGAGAAGTGAATTGAGCGACAAGAAGGCATGGATGCAGGCGGGCCTTTGTCGGTGGGTCGCCTTCGTCGTCCTGCATGGGGGGACGCGACAGACGGGGCTTCCTTACTTCAGAGATGGGCCAGGTTCTTCGTCGAGACGAGGCGAGTGCCCCGGAGATCAACTCCGAAGTTCCATGCTTCCTTGCATGCATCTAAACTAGCATCCACAAGATGCAAAATGAAGAAGGCAGTCGCAAGCCGCACTATGAGAACCCCCAAACCCCGGCAGAAGTCAGGTCCGACCCTAAGCAGCTCAGCTCAGAACTCAAGCAGCCACCAACGACGCAGTTCAAAAGCCTCAACAATCAGCTTTCAAAGCAGGGGTTTGGGACTTGAGCCTGAGCATACCTCCTTCCGTTACGCCCGAGCCACGGAAAAGCTCCTAAAACCTTTAAAGCCTCTCGTTGCTACTCTAGCGTGGCAGCAAGACCTGACTCAATCTCATAAAACTCTGAAAGAACTCCACCAACATAAACCCCCTCCCTCATGTGTCCATGGAGCCCCTCGTTTTAAAGCTACTACAAAACCCGTTGCAGATTTGGGTGAAACCCGGGGTCCTTAGCGTCCTCATTGTCTAGCTCCCCGTCGCCAGCGTTCTGGCTGAGGACGGCCAAGCTAGGTGGGAGATCCTCGGCGATTGCGGCCCAGAGGACCCGACATGTAGGTCGTAGATTTGCGGAAAATAGCCGAAGTTGTATGTTCGGGAGCATATCAGGAGATGTGTAACTTATCTGGGCACTTGGATCAGCGGTGTCTAGGTTTCAGAGCTCTGAGCCGCTTTGCACGGGCTTCAGGAGTTTCAACTGTCTCAGAGCTTTAGGACATGAGGGCTTTCATTTTGGCGACTGGGACTTTATGATAACGGAAGGTTTAGGGCACGAAGCTCGGAGATGGCAGCCGCAAAGAGGGACGTCCTTCTAAGCGGGCCAAAGAGCCAAGGGCCTTTATAAGGCCAAGGTGCTCCAAACCCCAATGTGTGGGAAACTCGACACTTCAGTCAGGTCTTTGAGACTTTTCTTAACATCAAAAGGTCCATAATCAGAGTTATACAAGGGAACCCAGTCCGAAGTCGCGCTTTGTATGTCCGGACGAAGGCGACTTCGTCTTTCTACGCCCTAGCTATCCTACCGATCCGAAGCCATTTGCCAACTAGACCAGCGTTTCGAGGGGTGAGGTATTGCAACTAGCTATCGTTGTACACAGAACTTAAAGGACCTGCCTTACCAGCCATGCTGCACTACTTAGACTCCTGGCTATTTCAGAACCCTCGAACTGGGCTTCTTGTCTGGCCAGTCTTGCGCAAGCCCTCCACCCAAACTCCAAGGTGCTCTCCACCTTTTTGCGAGGGATTAACTTTGACGGAGGGTTTATGATTTGGGGGTTTCCGAAAATAGGGGACCCTAATATAGTACCCTAAATAGTAGGATCCTTATTATAAGGACCCCCCCATAATAGGGTACCCCTTATTTTCGGAAAGTCCCATTTTAGGTTCGAAGGAGCGCTCGGTCAACGGTTTAGTGTTCCTCTGATACGCAGTGTTCGACAGCCCGCTCTTGGTTCTCTCAGGTTCTCTCCCTCTGCCCTGCGCATCAAACTTTGGATGCTCAAAAGGGCAAGGTCCTAGATTGCATGAGTTTCATCAGATGCAAGAGCCTAAGTGGTAAAACCCTGGCTGTTGCAACTTAAACAATGAATTCGAGACTGACATCATGTCTGCACGGACCTTGCCCAAAGGCCCGCTCACTGTCCAATCGTCCTGCAGGATGCACAGATTCGATCACACCGAGGCGCGAACATCGAAAGCCAGAGCCAATAACATCGAAACTGGACATCCCATGCTCTCGCCAAGAAACAAGTACTGAAGTGCATGAGGATACCGGGGTGCACAGTTGAGGGTCTAAGGCACATATCGGGGATTCTTATGAAGCAAGTCCCCGACCGGAACACCTTCCGCGTCTTACGAAGCTCCAGACGAAGCTCTGTTCTTGGAAACAATCGGAAAAGGCGGCAGAATGCTACAGATCATGTTGCAATTATGGCAAAGGACCTATAACACCGAAGCTGCAGCATCGTGAACCTCTAACCTGGGATACACTTGGTGGCACAGGCTTGGCAAACCTGCCAGCAGTTTGC